AGACTTCATAAACAAATGCACTTGAAACTGTTTCCCTCTTTTTGGCCGGGGCGGCCGACAGAAGGAACTTTTGGTCCTTCTTCTTTTTTGAGTGCGGGGCGTGCCACCACCAAGCCCCGAATTTGGGCTTGAATGGAATGTGAGTAGATGGATGTGTTGCGTTCATCTAACTTTAATCAAACGATTGTTCGGCCGAGCAAGGAACCTCCTCATAGCCTAGGTTCTTTCACTACCTCGGGGTCAAGGCTTTATGTGAGCGACAAATAATGTGGAGTGGGTGTAGATGTAGTTGGAATGTGAAACGTAATGAAACGGAGAACAAGTGCGTAAAGTAAATGTGCTTAAACTTAAATATAATTTAAAGACAAATGCGTAAAGTAAAGTGCGAAAGATAAATAACGTAAAGACGAGAATTAAAGTGCGATAAAATGAATCAAAGCGATAAATAAAGCAAGAACGAAATGAAAGCGATAAGAATGATAAAGTAAAATGAACTTGAAATTAAACTAAATTGAAGTGCGATAACAATGAAAAGTAAAGCAATTGAAATAAACTTGAATTTAAATGACAAGAAATGTAAATTGAAACAAGAATTTAAATGACAAGAGAAATATAAACTTACACTAGAAATATGAAGAACTCACTATACTAGGTGCTTGAAAAATAAAATCTTAAGTCTATGAAAAGAAAAGTGCGAGACGAAAGATAAGTTTGTTTGTCTGATGTTGTGTGTCTGATGTCTTCATCGAGCAAGGTTTATATAGGGCACTCGTCAGCTCATGGGCTGGCCATTGAATGGCCAAAGGTCAACTCTTTTAAAACTTCTTTCTTTCCAAGGCCCCCCTAACATGCTTGAATAAGATATTCTAACATGCTTGATTCTTCCTTGTTTTGGAACACTCGGAGTTACTATAAAAAAAATCCCTTGATTTCTTTCCTTGTGAAGTCTCCGTCACGTGCACATAATCCTCCGAAAATCTGGGCTTGAATCGTTGGCTTGGACTTCCAATTTCTCTTATATTGCCATCCATATGATATAAGATTTCATATATATATTCAATATATATATATATATTCATATAAGCATAAGTCTCCCAGCCTACGTGCATGCACCTTCACTAACTATATATATATACTTGCATATATAAGTAGTTTCTAAAGTAGCCCATTTTAAAACAGCCCAAAACAGCTTGCCCATACACTCCGAAACAGCTTGCCCATTTCGCCAAAGTTCCTAAAGCATCAATTTTGGAGAGCAGCAAAAGGACCCAGCCGCAACTTTCATTCATCCAAGTATATATGATATATATATATATGTTATATTATATATAAATGCAATATGAGATAATGCAGGTTCGATTAAACTCCGGCCGCATGCATTCCAAAACAACTTGCCCATTTCGAAAAAGTTCCTAGAGCACCAACCAATTGCATTTATATATAATTATATATATCAGCTTGTTTTTATCCTACAGCCCCAATTTTGGAGGCCAGCTTGCAATTGGTGCTCCAGCCACATCTCTATATATATATAATATTAAGCTTCCAACAAAGCCCTTTCAGCCCCAATTTGCCAAGCAACAATATACCCCAGCCGCACCTATCAGCACAGCAGCCAACATTATCCAACACATCCGGCCGAAATTTCCTTGGGCTCCATCCATCAAACCCCGGGCGCATAAACCTTGCATAGCCCAGCTATAACCCTCAAGCCAAGCTCTCCAAAACCCGGCCGACAATTTCATCAGGCCGTAGCCTTGCAAGAAAAGATCCGGCCGACCTCAATCTCCAGTCATAAGTAAGCTGCCCAGCCACATCTCACAAGCCCAGCTTCCTCCAACAAAACCCGGCCGCTATTCTTCTCGTGCCCGGTCAACTCTTGTGCCCGGGTGGATTTCTACCACCCCTAAACAGAAACACAAAACCAAGCAGAGAAAATGGATGGGTTTGGTCTTCAAAATCTCTTTGCCACAGAATCTGACCATATGTCCTCACAAAATTCCTTAAGCTGCTCCAAATCTCTTTGCCTAAGAAGCCATTTCTCTTGTTTTACAAGTTAAAAATGAAGTAGAAAAGAATACTTGTGAGCTCTGTTTCTTCAGTTAATTTCTCTCTTCTTGAATATTGGTCTAAACTTGTCATAATTTACGAGGCACAATATTCTTGCAACCTTAACCCTTTCATACCATACCTTGCCATTAACTACCTGGATCGGTTCTTATCCAAGCCAGATATTCTGGTGATTAAAGAACTTGAGGGTGTTCTTTAATTTGGTGAAGGAGGCGACAGCTTGAGGGTTTTCTTTAAAGTCAGGTGAAAAAAAAATCTATATTAAAAAAAAACCGCCTAGACCCGCCTAGCTCCTAGGCGGGCGCCTAGGCTGAATTTTTTAAAATTTTTTCTGATTCTACCGCATTTATTTTGTGGTGATACACTGGAATTGGCGTAATTGTTTATAGTTGGTGCTCTTCATTTTGAAATATGAAGCGGACAAGTGTGGGACAATTGTTAGAGTTGGCCTCCGTCTTCTCCAATACAGATTCTACAGGGACTATATATGCGTTTCCTGCTAGAGGAAATACCTTCTCATTGTACAATACCGCCAACAGTTTTTACCGGAGTAATTATTCCAAGTCATTTCAACGATAAGTGCAGTGAGACATGATTGCTTGGAAAAGGCTCTCCGATAGATGGAAGGATGTCTCTTTCCCCAAGCCTCTGTATCCACTTGTGCATCCTGCTGTTTTGGTGGAAACTTATGAACAAGGGGAATGTGTCGATGATCTTCAAGGGCATGAACAATTGAAATATGTGATATATGTGTACTATTCACTCCTTTTTTAGTTTATTCATCACTGTGTGTGTTGTTGTTGTAGACAAATGCAGTTCCTCAATGATATTATAAACTCAGGAAGCTTCTGCTACAAGTTTCCCTCCTTAATCTACATTCTGTATTTGATTTTAGTCTATGTTGATGGCGACATGACTAATTCGCCTTCTGAGTTTTGTTTCTAAATAGATAGTTGACTTTGAGTGCAACATGACTAATTATACGTTTATAAAAAGTCTTGATTTCCAGCCCTCCTGGCCAGGCTTTGCAATCTGCCTGCAACTTTATTTGAAAAATCTGGCTACTTTTATGACAACTTAATTTGTCAACTAAGAAGCAACAAAAGGACGAATATGCAATACCAGGGCTCTAATATGCGAACCAAGCGTAATATGCTAATCCTCTTGATAATATGATAGTAGCAGCTAGGGTTATTTTCAATTTGGCATCCTGCAGTTGTCCACTTAACCTTAAGGCATGTGTTTGTCCTGGCATTTTCAATTTTGACAATAAAGACCCTATGTTTGTAAATTTTTTGCGATGTGACTATGCCCTTAAGCTTGTTGTTAAGTGATGATTTGGCTTATGTGGGACTCACTTTTTTAATACTTAATTGATTAAAATACTAAAAATATATATTTAAAAACTAAATTTAAAAAGGCTAAAATGTTGATTTACTCCCTATTTCTCTTTTTTTTTTTAAAGAAAAAAGAAAATTAAGGATCTCAATTATTTTTTTAGCCAATTTTGCTTTACCATTAATTTTCCTCACATTCCATCAATTTTTTCGTTAAAAATATCATGTGCCAAGCATGTGAGGCAATTTGGTCATTTTCCATCTTATCAATAATTAAAATTTGAGAAAAAAATTTTAAAGTAAAAAATATAAAATTATAATGATTAAAAAACACAGAAAACCCCAGAACTTCTCCACACCCCAACCAACCTGACACCACCCACCCACCCACCTACCTCTTCCTGCTCGTTACACCCACCACAACCCGTGATCTTTTATGGGGGAGCAATTGCTCCAAACCACTACACTAGTAGATCATTTGCATTATTTTAAGCAATTAATAAAATATGAAATTGCAGATACTTTTCCCCTCATTAATCACATGTGCAAAAACTTAGGTAACCTCAGTAGTATTGAGGTTTGGGATAATAAAAAATAGTATTGAGGTTGAATTACAACAAAAAATAAAAGGTAATATCCTTTTTTCCAATAGGTGATTACAATAACAAATACGCGATTGGTTAAATAGTGAGAGCAATTGAATAAAAATAATGGAATCAATTTTATAAGAAAATCAAAGCATGGAAACATAAAATCCCAGCAGGTGGTGGTGTGGCCTGTGCCCTAATACCTTAAAACTAAGGACGGACATGGATCGATCATACACTACTTTCTACCTGCCATATATCCCAAAAACCAAACTTGCTCTAATACTACTATAGTCTACTACTACTTTCCTTTCCTTGTGATTAATTAATTGATGCGTGATTGTTCTTCAACCTTCAAGCGATCCATCAGCTTTGCAAGAGACAGATGCTCTCACGCATCAACTCGATGCGCACATCCTCCCAAGAGGGGGGGAGTTTGGAAATGATTGTATTCACATGAAATTCCTCATCTATAGCCATATCTTCACATTTAAACAGTTCTTTGAACCTTGTATTCAGTTCTTCAACTTGCTCCACCATTGGTTCCTCTTCAAGGAAATGATATTCCAGGTAATCTGGAACGCAAGAATGTTACTTGTATGTAAAGATAAGTTCTATATCAAGATGTTGAGGATTCCTTTATAGGCAAGGAACTGAGATATCTTCACCGTATAAAAGCTAGGGTTCGCTCCCCCGGACATGAATTGCTGTTACGGCTTCTATATACTGATTTGAGTGTCCAAATGAATTGTAATTTCCTAAAGGCAAAGACAAAGTCACTAACTAAAAAAGAGAGTAACCAAACATAGGAATTAGGGTTTCACCTTCGTCTCCTCCTTCCATCTCCACACTTTAAATTTTAGAAATTCCAGTCATGTTGTTTGCTAATTTGTTTGTCTTTGATAAAATAAACTAAAAACCGTAATAATTTCTTACATGGAATAAAAACAAAAACAAAAACCTCCGATGTGTTCATAGGCAAACGTACTCTTCTTCAACCCTCAAACTATCCATCAACACTTCTAAAGTCAAAGGCTTCTCCTTCCCCGTCAATAACTTGATGTTTGAGTACTTCCAAGAGGCAGGGAGCTTGGTTAATTAAGATGGCAGAGACATGAAATTTCTCACTCAACGTCATTCCAGAAGCCACAACGTCATCGAAAATGCAATTGAATTCTTGAACTTGCTCCACAACTGTCTTCTCATCAACCATCTGAAATTCCATGTACTTTCTAACCAGAGATCTCTTTGTTCCGAACATTAATTTTAGATCGTCCCACAGTTGTTTAGCAGTTGTAGTTTTCTTTCTCTTTGCGTAACGATGGAGGAGATCATCACATAGATAGTTCAAGATGGTGCGAAGGCACATAAAGTCATCCTTGATCCATTTCTCTTCAGCAGCCTTCGATCCAGCAATTTCTTCAGTAGTTGCTTCAGATCCTAGCATAATGCTAGGGCATGGCTCGTAGAGTACATATTCAACTTTTAATTCCTTGAGGAAAAACTCCATTCGCCGCCCCCAGATCGGGTAGTTCTTCCCATCAAGACGAACAGGGTCAATGGGAACAAGTTCTTGAGGAGCAAGACCAGCCACTGTTGAATTAGACATGCCATCTTCGGTTTGCTCATTGTCATGCTCAGATCTCAACTTTGACTCAATCTTGGCGACCTCATGCATGTCTTGGGTCCTCTCTTTTAAGGCTTTCCAATTTACTGAAAACATAGCATCCATACAAATCACTTGAAATTAATCCAACCAGTGTTCATTTAACTGTTAGAAAGTATAAGAGAGAAGGCCAACCAAACAACTTATTAATGTCTTGAACACACTCAGGTCATATGGGAATGCATATACAGGGAAAGAGATCATTAAATATAATTATTAAACAGTAATTCATACACATTTCTAACTAAACCAGGGCCAGGAGTCAGTAAATTGCCATGAGAAAATAATAAGATTAATAAATAAGATAAATTGGTGTATGGTACCATAAGCAGAAACCAGCTTTCCATCTCTTCCTTCAAATTCTTCTTTAAATTCCGCCAACAATCTCATTCTCTTGTTTGGTATTATTCTCTTCTTTGGTATTGGTAACTAATAAAACAAAAGAATTAATTTAGATCAGAAACCCACAAATTTATACACCAAAAAGTTCTGGAATTCGTACATAATTTCTATTAATATAATCCCATAAAAATCTAAGTTTATCTTGTTTTTGCCTGCAATTGTTCATCCACCAAACAGAATCCAGAGCCGAGGGCTTAAAAAAGAAGAAGAAAACCTAATTGCGTAACTCACTAAACACTCACATAGAACCAAAGAAACCTATATATTATTGAATATGTTGACGCAGAAAAATGGTTCGGCACTTTCCCACGCAACTTAGTGATGTTGGGCCTTCGGTATGCTCTGGGCCTCGGTAGGGCGTGCGATCTGCAAGATAGCAAACGCTCGGTAAGACCTAGGGCATCGGTGTGGTACCGGCCGAAGGCTCTCCGATGCTTAAGTAAGTACGAATTTAGTAAAGTTGAACTACAGATCAATAGACAGTATGCCGTAAGTTCTGATTACCTCCATTATGGGGAATTGTGCTTCCTTTATAGTCCTTAGGAGGTGTGTATGTTGCGTAGATTTTCGATGTGGGACTGTGGACATCAATTGTGAGCTTGCCACGTGTCCTCGAGAAGGAGGTTGCCCTAATTGTTGGCAGGTGCCGAAGGCTACCATGACCCATTTCGTCTACGTGTAGCTTCTCATTGGCTATTCATTTTGGTATAAACAGAATAATTCAATTTTCTTTCTGTTTCCTACATTTTCTAAGTAACCAAACCTAGAAATTAGGGTTTCACCTGTCTCCTTCAGCCTTTCTCCACCATTTCGGCCCATAGCAGACGGATCGATTACGAGTCGCTCGGAGTCCATGTCTCCGACTGTTTTTATGCTTTGAAAAGTCTAAAACTATTATACCCTTTTATTTATTATATTCTAAGGTTGGTGATATTTTAGTCAAATTCTACTTTCAAGTTTTCATTAAATTCTAAAGGTTGGTGGTATTTTCGTCAAATTCTACTTCAGTCCCTATAATTTAAATTCTAAACATGTCGTTTGTTAAATTAATAAATCCAAAATACCCGAGTGTGGCATTTTGGTTTTTTTTTTTTTTTTTTTTTTTTTTTTTTTTTTATTTTTTTTATTTTTATTAAGAAAAGATAATATGGGTAGTTATGTTCTATAAAAGTATGACTTATTATCTGATTTTGTTTTTTTTTAATTTTTTAATATAAAAATGTGAATTTACCATATTATCCTCATTTAATTAATAATTTCAATTATTAATGTTTAACCAATGACAATTTCTAGTATTTTGAATATTTCACCATTATCTACCTTTTGCTTTATATATATATATATATATATATATATATATATATAGTCTTTCTCTTATCCGGATGTCCGGATTGTTTAGCATGCGGACCTCAATGTTTCTTTAGTTTTCTCCTCTTATATATGCTGCCAAATCACAAGCCACTACACTGCTATATAAAAATATCCAGTCGGTACTGTAGAAGTATACATCTTCAAATCATTTTTTACAATGAAACACAGCTGCAAACATTGGAATCCGCACCCTAAACAATCCGGATGTCTGGATAAGAGAAAAATCATATATATATATATATATAGATCACAAATCTCACCAATTTTATAGACACAAATTTGATGTGGATGTGGCAACGTGCTATTTTCTTGTAGACCATGCCAAATCTATATTTAAGCTACATGCGTCAAATGCCTATTTCTAAAGCTTGGTTCGTGTAGATTGGTCACTTTGAAAACTTCAAACCGTGAATCAGATCGAATCAGTCAATTCGGTCTGGTTTGACACCAAAATTAAATAAAGAGATAATAAAAAGTCAGACCAAACCAACTCAATCGATTTGGTTTGGCCTGATTGCGTATTTTTCTAGTTTTCGGTTTGATATTTTCTTTGTCTTCTATGTTCTTTGTATTTAAAATGAATCATATGCTATAACCATAAAAATGAGAAATAAGGAATATTAAAATGGCTAGTTTTGTTGGTTGGCTAGAATTTTTGCTCCTGGGTTTGTCTTCGTATTTCTCTTGGATTTGTTTTAATTTCTTCTTGAGTTTGATTTGATTTGTTTTGTGATTTCTGCAATTTGATTATGGGTTTGATATTGCAAAAGCGTAGAAGAAGAATGGAGAAAAGGGGATTTGAAGGGGAAAGGAGGAAGATTGGCGTGAGTTTGTTTAATTGCTGCACAAGAAAAAAAAAGATAGTGGCAGATAATAAGATGTTAGTTGCAGATATAAGGAAGCAGAAGTGATTGATTATCTCTGGAATTAAGCAAACACAGGAAATAGAAGAAGAGCAGAGGTGCAAGTGGGGGGGCGATGGAAGGGTAGAACGACATGGAAAAGTAACGATGATAAGGTGCAAAAGTGGGAGATTTTGTCTAATACAGTTACATTGACGTATACTAATTAAAATTCGTTATATTAATCAAGTAAGTAAATTTTACTTAAATACATGCTAAATGTAAGAACTCGAAATACCATTCGTATTTGGTTTGAGGGTTGGTCAAAGCCCTACAGCACAGTTGAGAAAATAGGAACCTAAAAATAATCAAATATGAAAGTGATTAGATGCCACCACAGACTCCGCCAGATGGACCTACTGAAAATGAATTGAATATGACTCTCCTCTTATATAAAAAAAAATAAAAATAAATAACACAACAATAAAACACAAAAAACTTAGCATTAAAAAAAAAAAAAAAAAAAATAATAATAAAAAAAAAAAAAAAAAAAAAAAAATCTATTCCCATATTCCAATTCCAACTCCAATTTCCAGCTTCCAAAACTCCATTGTCTTTCTTCTCTCTCTCTCTCACTGAGACTAATATTCAATCAATCCGAGCCGTCCAAACAACTTGATCCAACGATGGAGAGCAACAACTGCATGTCCGTGCTGTCGTGTGTGGGCACCAACGTCGCCTCAGCCTTCTTCGCCTCACTGGAACGCTGCTCCTGCATCAACCTCAACACCACCGATTTCGACGACGACAATCAAGCCATCAACGACGACGACGGCCGCCCTCTTTTCCTCACCTCCTCCAGGCCCACCGCGGCCCACCAAGCCCAGCCCATCATCGACCCCAATCAGCCCATCAACAAGCCCGCCGCCGCCGCCACCCACCACCTCAGCAACGGCGTTTCAGCTTGATTGGTTGCTGCAGACCACACGCAGCCTCCGCTCACGGTGATTTTACCATACACTCAACTCAACTCAAGAAGAAGATAGAAATTTCACTGCTTTTTAGCTTTATGTTTAGCTTGTGTATTGTATGGTCTTGGTTTGTATCTGTAATTTGTGTCCATGCGCGTTGAAATTGTAATTGGATTTCGTAGGCCACTTTTTGCTTGTGAAAAGAATTGGGAATTTTGTAAATTCTGTTGATGAGTTCCAAAAAGGGGAAATTTTGCTTTCGTGTCAACGTACAACCTTCACTGCGTAGCGTACAACTACCTCATGCATGTAGATGTAGCGCTCCAACATTTCTTGTTATACTTTAATTGTAGTTTTAAAGTGCTCATGAAATTTCTGAAACTCTGTTTGATAATTTGGTTCATTTGAAGCGTCATTGGATGCTACATTTCTGCTGAATTCAGTTTTTTTTTCTTCTTTTTCTTTTGATGCTAAATTTCAGTTATGGTTTTGCTGTAACGTATAGTTTGGTGAGACTAGGCAAGAACCAATCTCGTGCAGTCAATGCCAATTGTCCAAGTCCTGGTATTGGTTTACGTCACTTTAGCATGAAAATGGGATTGACAACTCACTTTCACTCACACAGCAGTCGGTGGATTTTGTTCAATAGTGTACTCACTTGTTTAATGCTCCTTGAAGCCTCTGGTGTTTGGAGTTACCCTGCTACTTGGTAAACTCTAGGCATGTAGAAAGGAAAGAAAATCTTACTGGTCACCTGCATTTGGATGAAGAATTTGTGTTTTTTCATTGTTTGAATTGATAAAAATCATACTGAATTTCCTTTGTGTTATAATTGGTTGCTTCTGAGTTTATCAAAGCGTTATCGTCTAGCTTGGACCTTGGGAAGTTTTGGCATTTGTCATAGTGGTTTCTTATGTTTCTGGTCATTTAAACCAAGCATTTGCATCACAAGCTAAACATCTCATGGATGTATATAATATATGTGCATTGTAATTGACACTCTTTGTGAGTGGTTGGATGCTGCTCTCATTTTATGAAAGGGAATCTATATTAGGGTAGTGTGTACTTCCTTTGGGTGATCAGTGTTTAGGTCTTATTCATTTTGAAGACTATAGTTGATTAGCTAGCATTTAGAGACTAGAAGACCAGAGGAGAGCACTTTTCCATGTTGTTGAATGTGCAACATTACTGACAGATAAATGGCTGACTAGGGTTCTTTAATTCTTCCTTTCTTCCTTTCTTCTTTTCCCCCCACCTATGTAAGGACATATTATAAGGATGCATCGTATGCATTGAAATTCGAAGTTTTTTTCCGAAGTAATGATGTGTGATGTGTGATGTGTCACAACATACGACAAAATTGATTGTCGATTAGAATTACCAGTCTGAGGTGGTTTCTGCTTCTGTAACTAGAAGATACTGCATCAATGGTCTTCACTTTTCCGTTAACGCAAGATCTTCACCGCAATGTACGACAAACCTGTTTAAACTTTTTGAATGTTGTCATTGTTTCCTTAGAAGCCACATTGAAATCTTTGTGAGAGATACATTTAGTAGTATTTGATCTGTTTTCTTACACATTTTAGTCTTCACAATTTCACTTTGGTATTCAAATAAAAATATTACCAGATACAGTAAGAATTTACTCTGTTCCCAAACCAATCAAATCAGATATCATTGAACAACAAATCCTGCTCAAACATCAACATCTAAAACATAAATAGGAAGGGAATCAGATCTCAGGAGTACCAAAACAATCATATAAGGTAGTCCACCTGTGTCGAGTTGTCTGCAAAATTGGTGGTCTCAGAAGCATGATTTTATGGTCTGGTTGAAAAAAAAGATGCTGCATTAGAAACTGGCATGTTTGGTTGGGGATAATTACTTAACCATCATATTGTCAAGAAAGAACCATTCACAGAGAACATTGAAAGAAGAACAGGGGAAAGAAAAATTAAGCAGCATGGATATGCAGAATCTCCACATCATGGCACTTTTGTAAAGCATGGATGGGTAAAATTTGCATCCAGCTCATCAACTACTTTACTTTGCATCATAGACTTACTTGCAGGTAGCTCAAAGGCAATGCATCATAGACTTATTTGCAGGTAGCTCAAAGGCAACAAAATGAAATACATTCATCAAAATTTGCTCAGTCCAAAATTCGAATCACTTATCTTCGTCTCTCCAGCAAATCAGTATCAAGATGCAACGATGGATTATATACAGCCTCGCTCGCTGCTCCTTCAAGACTCTACCTCTTGGAACCGGAGCCTTGCATCCTGCCCGCGAATAAAAAGACAGGCACCCCATCCCTGTGAGTTTCTCCCCGCTTCTTACCTCCACAAAAGATGATAGAACTATCAAAAAACACCTAAACTCCTTTGGAGATTGTTCTTACTTTACTGATAATAAAACGCCTCTCTCTCTCTCTCTCTCTCTCTCTCTCTCTCTCTCTCTATATATATATATATATAGATGTGGATAGTGTGAGGCGGTTACAGAAAGTTGGTTACAAATTTTTGCCTTTCAGTGCAGAGTGTTCCTGTAAATTTGTTGCAAGTCTGAGGCTTGGAGCTTGTGGCTTCCCTAGGGAGCTCCGCAAGTAGCCAAAAACCAATTTTCTGGATTCAACCAGTTCATCAGCACTGGCATTTCTATGGAGGAGAGGAGTTTCTGCGAGGCTGTCTACCCAACCAGTTGAGCCAAGTGATTGTAACTCCTGGGCTTAGTTAATGCATTTCTTCTTGCTAGTTTATGGGAAACAGCTTACTGATGACTTATATCACTTTTTATGCTTTTGATATGGGATTAGGCCTGCTAAACTCAGTTTAATAGCTTTTAGTTTCAGTCTATTAATTACATGATTTTTGAAGCCACCCAGAAGAGTTGGAGATTCTTCTTCTCTGTGCAAACTTATGTAGAAGATTTGTGATTTTGAATTATGTGAGAAGCTGAAATATAAGATATGGAAAGGAAGCCAATAGAAACGTGCATGCTCAAGTTACTACATGAAACCTGGCACCATCACCCCCAGTGATGCTGCGTAGGTTTGAAGCTATCGTGGCATGCATTGGACACAATTATGGTTTGCTCAATTTTTGTCGTTTGTTTATTTTATTTTAAAAAAAAAATTATTTATTTATTTATTTTCTGTTTTTCTCAGAATCCCTTTTTTGTTCATCTGTAGCTTCTACAGAACACAATCCCTTTCAACTATTGATTCAGTACGGGCAAATACTAATTTGAGATGGGAAAGATTCGTTTAGGAGATTAATATAGAGGGTGGACCTAAAATTTAACAATAGAAAAAAAAATTAAAGGATCTCCAATTATGAGGCTAGAACATGATATGCTAAAATCTTCAAATCTATAAAGATGTGGTTTGTACCCTTCACCAACAAATATTATATGGGTTAAATGCAATGTTTTTTTTATATAAGCGGTATTCTAAACTATAAGGGGAGGGGGGTTTCTTACATACACACTACCAATGCGTCATGACGGTTCTAACATAAGACTATTGGGTGCAAGTCAATACCCGTTTCCACTAAGCTAGACGTCATTGACATACATTTGTTTGTTTAATTAGTATGGTGCAAATTCTAAATTTTGGTAATGATCCAATTACATGCGCAATGATCGATTTTAACATTCTTTTACAACAATGTTAGAAAGTAACTCATTATGCTAAACTCTAGTAATTAAATCCCCTACCTATATATAGTAATTACAACATGGGAATTTGTCCCGCGAAATTATATTTAATCAAAATCATAAATGGTAAAATGTTGAGTTATAATTTAGCAAAATCGAAGTCGAGACCTCTTCCAACATTGAGAAGAGCTAGCTCTCGATCCATGAAGTTTACAATCTGATATGAAAGAGCAAAACACAAGCCACATTGTAATGAAAATCCAAAACGGCTAGTTTGCAATCTGATGAAGATCCATACCATATGTTTGAAAAAACGTACCAGAAATAAAATAATGATCCCAAAAGTTAATATATCCATAAAGCTTTGGGAATAAAATCTTTGCCTTAGTGTCTTCAAGTTTCTAACAAAGGTGGGGTTGAGTTGTGAAGGCGTGCAGCCACTATGCTTATGATTGAGTAGAAGAGCCTGTCCATCAAAAGCACAGCAAACAATCCCATCCATTGCTCACCTTTTTTACTCTATTTGCCTAATGTCTCATGCACTAAGTTCACTGATACATAAAATACACAAATTACTGACTCTACCATTAGAAATGGTAGCTGTATATTTTTACTGTGAGCAATGCTAGCGGCAATGCCATGAACAAAAGTACTGAATTAAAGCATGTAGAGGCAGAGCCAGCTGAACCCTTTGTTTGAAAGCTTTCCCTAAAGCACATGAACTTTTACAAGTTACAATTGGAGAGTTCAAAAGGTCATTCAGAGAGAAATTAAGAAAGTTTCTGATGGAGTGAAATGATGGATTCTAAACACAAAGAGAACAGGGCAGGGGAGCTGTTCAGGTATTGGTATCTTGCTAGTAGCAGGTGTGTCTATTTTTCTCAGTCAATTGACATGATTTCATGACAAAGAAACTATTGAGAGAAAAGAAAAGTAAAATCTCTTTTGGGTTGAGGAAAAAAGAGGTTTAAACCATTCCCCACATTGGGTCACATTGAATAATCACACACCCCCAACAACTTATTATCACCAATGCATGTTAGAGGTATCATGAAAGCTGACAAACATGATACACCTACAAGAACCCTGCTTTTTCCTTCTTCTTTTTTTCTTTCTCTTCCAATCGAAAAATATGTACTAAAAAAAAAGGAAAAAAGCAGAAAAAAGCAGAAAACAGAAGGAAAAAAAAAGAAAAAAAAGAAGAAAAAAAAAGTGTATCTTGGATTCACTCTATTAAGCACCCCTTCCACCACCCCCATCTAGCCACCAAGTTCAAACTCTGTGTGCGAGTGAGTGTCTGTGTAAATGGCAAACTTGCCCACCTCATTTACAATGGTTCTAAGCTTTTTGTTCATCTATGGTTACAATTACAATGTGCATGTTATGGCACAATGGCCTAGTGGAGGATCAACCAGGTTCTATGATTTCAAGGTCTCTTTTAACATACTTCTTTTATGTGTTTTTCTTTTCTATTGATTTCTCCTGATTTTTCTTGTTAATGAAGGTCAATTTGATGCCAACTTTTAGGTACAAACCAAAAGAGTTACCAAACTGTGCAGCACCAAGGACATGGTGACCATCAATGGGAAGTTCCCAGGGCCATCTGTTTATGCTCAGGAAGATGATAGAATAATTGTCAATGTAACTAATGAGACACCTTTCAATATCACAATTCACTGGTAAACCAATGAGCTTATATATTTGTTCATAACTTGATTGCTTATTTTCTTACTAATTATTTCTTTTCATCTTATTTTTCAAATCAAGGCATGGTGTCAGACAAAAGCTATCATGCTGGTTTGATGGACCTTCATACATAACCCAATGTCCAATTCAAGCTGGCCAGAGTTTTACATATGAATTTACAATGGTGAAGCAGAAAGGCACCTTCTTTTGGCATGCCCATGTTTCCTGGCTAAGGGCAACTGTTTATGGTGCCCTTATTGTATATCCAAAAACTGCGGTTCCTTACCCATTCAAAGCCCCTTATGAAGAGCACACCTTAATACTAGGTAATTAACATATATGCATATATATGATTTTCTTCTGGGGAAGAGATAATCTTTTGAAAAGTAATTGTTGGGTTCTGAGTGATGTTTACAAATTAATTATGTTATGGAAGTTTGGATTAATTTTGATTACTTAGACAATTGTATTAGGGGAGTATTGGCTGCAGGATGTTGTACAACTTGAAAGAGCCACTGCAGCAAGTGGAGGACCTCCTACACCAACAAACGCCTATACAATCAATGGCCATCCAGGGCCAAACTACAACTGCTCCAACAATGGTAATAAAGAAAATCTAAAACAATGTTATATGTATAATATTTACCACATTTCTCCTAGACGTGAAAGTTTTTAATGGCCAACAATGTGATTAATAAATGTAGTACAGATAGTTCATTAGTCTCGCTGCTTTTGTCATTAATTGTTTTGCTTGCTTCCTATGTGATGTTGTGATTGTTTCAGATGTGTATCAGATTGATGTGGTCTCAGGGAAGACATACTTGCTAAGGCTAATACATGCAGGCTTAAACATGGAGAACTTCTTCGCCATTGCTAATCACAAATTGACAATTGTGGAAGCCGATGCAGAGTATACAAAGCCATTCACCACAGACCGTGTGATGCTTGGACCAGGCCAGACCATGGGTGTCTTAGTCACAGCTGATCAGTCTCCAGGAAAATACTCCATGGCCATGGGACCTTACATGTCAGCCAAGGGTGTCAAATTCCAAAACATTTCATCCATTGCTTATTTCCAATACTCGGGTGCTGTCCCTAATAGCCTATCTTTACCTGCTAAACTGCCCTGCTTCAACGATAATCTAGCCGTTAAGACGGTCATGGATGGATTAAGGAGCCTAAACCCTGTTAATGTTTCAAGACAGATTGACACTGACCTTTTTGTCACCATTGGATTGAACGTTCAAAAGTGTCACTCCAAGACACCAAAACAAAATTGCCAAGGCCTTAATAATGGGGTTATGGCAGCATCAATGAACAATATAAGTTTTGTTAAGCCAAAAATTTCACTTTTGGAAGCTTATTATAAGAAGATTAATGACTCTTTCACAGAGGACTTCCCTGGGGTACCCCTTAAGTTCTATGACTTTGTCAATGGGGCGCCTAATAATGCTCCTAACAATACACAGGCATCGAATGGGACTAAGGCCTTGGTCCTTGAATATGGTGCTAGAGTGCAACTCATCATGCAGGACACTGGAACAGTCACAACTGAGAACCACCCAATTCATCTTCATGGCTATAGCTTCTATGTTGTTGGGTATGGCACTGGGAACTACAACCTGAAAACTGCAAACTTCAACTTGGTGGATCCACCTTACATGAACACAATTGGAGTCCCTGTGGGTGGATGGGCTGCTATACGTTTTGTTGCTGACAATCCTGGTAAGTGTTGTATTTCTATATTAATACTAATGGTTAATGCTATTGTCAGTTGCGTGTGGGCACGTGAAGCTATCATATTCGTTGACCTGTTCGGAGAACAGATGTGCTAGCATCACACGTCCGCACACGACTAACACACAGGAGAAAATGGCATCACCAATGACATTTTTTATTAATTGCAGGGGTATGGTTTATGCATTGTCACCTCGACATACACCAGTCTTGGGGATTAGGCACAGTGCTTGTTGTGAAGAACGGAAAAGGAGACCTTGAGATTCTTCCTCACCCTCCTGCAGACTTGCCTCAGTGCTAGAGTGCCTCTGGATTTTGATAGCTGACATAGAAAGATCGTTGTTAGTTAAGTTGTAACCTTTTGTTTCCAATCGAGGATTTTTTTTTGGTCCATTTCTTTGTTTAAAACTTGAAATTGGGGTGGGGTTGTAAACGAGAGCATAATCAAATTAAAAAGGGGATTTTATTTTTTATGATTTAAATAGAAAGGCCATTTTTAATTTTCTTCATTTGTTTGGATTCTACTGACACAAGTATACATGTTATGTTCGTGTTCCTAACTTCCTGACTCAATTCTTCCTCAGTCTTGGTAAGCAAATGTTTTTCTTATCATAAACCTGCAAATATTCTTACCCAATATATGAGATAATTGCTCCATGCACTTCATTTAGGCTCCTTTTTTTTATATAGAGATCTTTTTAATGTGATACAAGTATCACAGCAGCCAAACAGACGGGTCAAATGCATTCACTAGTTTTGTTGGCAACTTCTTGCTTCAGGTTAGAGGTAAGCTTCTAGTTGTACGAGCAGCCAAGCAGGAATCTAAGTTGTAATGTAATTATTAAAGATTAACTTCATACAATCATCAATATACAAATATATCTTCCTTCTTATATTGTCGACTTGACAGAATAAATCATCAGTAAACAACGACATGTTTCATGTTCGCCTCTGGTTAAACCCTAGAGCAGAAGTTTAGGGGTTAACCCTTTCTGAAGTCCAGCACTTCTCTTCATTGGGACTTCCAGTGGATGCAAACGTTAGCCTCTGGTTACTCTTCAGGTTCAAGTAATCAACCTGTGAACATGATAAAACTCAAGAAAATTAAGCAGGGAAATTAAACACATTGTGAGATGAATCATGAATGTAAGACTAGAGAAGCAAACCTGTTGCGGGTCTAGAACAAGAACACAAAATGCACCAACCGGGCCTGTAGAAGGATCTACGGAGACGTCCTTGGGTGGTTCTTCACTTAGATTGGGAAGACCTGGCTGGGGCCCCAAATACTGCAGTCTTGATTTCAGAGAACTGGAAGCCCACGATTTCTCTCTTTGCTACAGCAGGCAATTTGAGAGGAGAACATTACAGCATGAATAATAGCAAAATAGATGCTGTATTACATTTTTTAAACATCCACTTGAGGTCAAAGATCATGGCAAGGTTACTTCAATTCGTTAAATATTTAAATAATTATGTTTCCAAACTATCTGATCTCCAACAGCACTCAATCTTCTAATATATATACACCTTCCATCCCCGCATCTCAGGAACATGTTCAACTGTGACATCTCTTTTTGAGAAACATTGTTCATCCTTGCTATGCAAGGGTCAACAATGTGGCCAAAAATCATATCACTCCAGCACCACGCTTAGCCCAATTTTACTGTCTTTGGCCTAGAACATGTCCCTCTCTAGAAGTTTCATGATAAATCATTATCCAAAGTCCAGTGGAAATCTTATAAGCAAACACCAATGCATCATGTTAGCAATAAGGTAGGCCCTTGATTATATCTTCTTTCCTTTGTTGGGAGAGAAGATTATGTTGTGTGTTTCAAACTGGATTTAGAAGTTTCTATCCATAGACAACTGATTTTAGAAAATTTGAGTTTAACACCGAGTCTATGCAATGGCAATTTAGAACTGCTAAAATCTACCCCTGATACTATCTATTTGTCAACCGAGTATCAAAAGAATTATCAATTTCGAACTGTTAAAAACTTTTTCCAGTCATGATCTTTGATTCCTTCAACAACATTTTGGTCATAATTACCATTTCATCCAGAAACTTATCTCAAACATACAATCGAACATGGAAACTAGGACTTCCGAATCCGAAGTACCATTTACATTCTATTACCTGCTGACTCAAAATTTAGATTTAGCAGTTGCTGCAACAAATTCCAACATATTTGAAGTATGAATTCAGATTATAATACATGCATTTTCCTTTCCCTCTATTATAGAAAGGGTCCTGACCTCACCTGAAGTTTTATGGGGTCGGGATTTGATCCATCAATAATATCAACTGTTCCATTGATCCGAAATTGCTCCCAAGAGTCAGTAAAGTACCAACATATCTAGAACATGGAAAATTAAGTCTAAGAACAAAAGAATAAAAAGGGGGCAGAAAACTATTATCATCAAACTCTAAAAGAACCTTTAATTCTAGTGCAAATAGATACAAAGCAGATAGTTTCTTAACAAACTCAGGAAATGTACCTCAAAGATAAATTACCTCAGCAAAAGGGCAATGCTTAAGCTCCTCAATCTGAAAAAAATTATGACGAATGTCAATTACATCAACACACAGATCATATCAGCTGAGCTGAAAACAACAAATTAAAACTGTAAATTAAACACAAATACAGAATGGGTCGAACAAGAATGACCTTACGACTTCTGCCATCAGTATTGATTTGAATCTTATCACTATCCTCTTGAAATCCCCTGAGGGTACCAACAAAGTCATCAACTTTAATTTCTTTTAGAGAGAGAGAGAGAGAGAGATCATTACCTGAAAACAACAGTACGATTTGAAGGTCTCCCATTACAACCAATCGTTGCCTACAATTCCCAATCAACCATCAAAGATTCAAACTTTAACAAACCAAAAGATTGATTACTAGAGAGAGAGAGAGAGAGAGAGAGAGGCGTACAAGCTGAATGTAGGAAGAGTGCCTGAGGTGGGAATTGGATTCCATTGCGTTGAGAAGGAGCTGCTTCCATGGCGCTGGTGCTGTTACTGCTCCCATTGCTCTGTTAATCTCTGCTTCTTCGTGTTCCTCGATTTGTTGATTTCAGCTTCTGAACATTTTTCGTCTCGCCACCATAACCAGCGGTTTCTGATCGACTTTTATGTTTTTCCAAACCCCAAAAGCGCGAGGCAGAATCGTGCGTTCGGCGCCAGTGCGATGCGAGCTAGCATGAACGACAGACTATTTGATATCGTTGGTTTTTGTTACCAAGAATATTTACCAGAACATAAATGGGGTCCTTAATTTGAGATAGAAATTCTATAACAAAAATGGTGTAGGCTAGCTAAATTGCAGTCTCATGTCTCACAGTCTCAGTAATATAAGTTAGTTCTTCCCAATAAAATTTATTTGGGACATTTTGGAAAAAGCAAAAAGAGAGAGAAAAATTTTAAAAGAAGCAAAAATGGACAAAAATGCCCTTATTTATTTTTAGATTTCTTAAGGAGTCCAATACATTTGAATGTCTTTGATTTGAAAGTTGAGCAGTTTTTTTGTCTTTTTTAAAAAAGCTTTGGCTTTTTCCAAAAGTGAAAATTTTTTTATGTCTAAAACTTAAAAAACCTAATTTATAAATAACGTGATTAAATATAGACATATTTCAATTATCCGTATTTAATCTAACCATTAAAAGCCCCCATGATACTTGTGGTGGGGTGAGAGGAGGAGGTAGATCCTCAATTCATTTTCTCTAATACTAGTTGTCTCTAGTAAGTTGGAGGAAGTCTCGTATTTTGTTTACATGAATACGATAACAAGGAGTTGGATGTTTAATCTTCATTAGTTCATAAAAATTTAAAATAAATTTTATTTATCATAATCTAAAAGATAAATAACTTTTATTTATGGGGTCTCCCAATAAAATAGTACTATAGTACTTGAATTTAGACACGTTTTTTATTTGTGCTCTTTGCTATAAAAGACATAAATTATTGTGTTTCATATCAATGGTCACGGTGCATCAACATTAAAATGTTTGGTTTTTTCTATAGGATTTTCATTGCTTATGGAGCATCAATACCTCATTTGTGACTGACATTTAGAATCTATTATTAATGCTTTCGTTATGACAACTCGAACATATCTGTCAATTGATTAGAAATTTGTTAGATCAAAACAATTCTCAACTAATAGTGTATTTTTTAAATTTAAAAAGAAAACATAAAGCATCCTGCACATATCTTTTACTTCATTCAACTTCTGATTTCAAATTAAAATTAGGCAAAATCTCAACACAATTAGAACTCAACCCCTAAATAAAATGTTCTAACATAGGTTAGGGCTTAGTAATTATGGTTAAAACATTTCAACTTTCACACTATTCTTGTAAAAAGGAAGTAAAAAAAAACTCAAAACAACACAAGTTCGATTTTTGACCTCAAAACTCTCCATCAAAATAAAAAGAAAAGCCTTTTGCATATAATAAATAATTAGACATTCCGTGTCTTGTTTTTCTTGTCTTTCTCTTTCCATTGATATTTTCTCTTCACTTTTTTTCATAAAAAAGGAAAGATACGGGGGTTGCAACTTGCAAGGCAGCAGCAAGTCATTTGACATTAATTTTATAGTGACGGTTTGTGATTGATGTTCATATTGTGTCGACATCGAATGTGTTTTTTTCTTCTTTTTTTTGTGTGCGTACCAGGACCCAAGTGGGTTGCAGTTCCATAACATAAGGCAAAAAGTCTCTTAGAGAGCAAAATAATGGAAAATAATGCGAGGAGATTAAAGTAATTAGCCAAGGTGGGACCCTCTATCATGGCCATGGTAATTGACGGCCGTTCATTTGATTTTGCCATTGACCTTGTCAAACTAAAATATTCCACGGAGAAATTCTATTTCCATCTACCTATTTGAGAACAGACGTTGATCACGAGCCCATCTACCATGCACTATTACCAAAAGTTCATTGTCGAACAAGGGACAAACCAGCACAACAAACAAATTATACAAAATCGAAACGTTTTTTTTGTTGAGACAACCCACGGCCTGGGATTTTCAATCGTAGTGGTCCAGGTATCTATATTCGAATTTCATTTTTATCCTCCAATTCGTTTGTAAGTTATTTCGGTCTATTAAATCTCAGACGTACATATTTCAATTTAGTTCTTATAATTTACGCGCCGCATAATTGATAATTAATTAAATTCCAGAAAAAGGGATTAAATATTTCGTAGTAAGTTATAACAACAAAACCTAACACCATTAGGCAAAATTTAATTCATTACTATTAGATTCCTTCCACCTTTCCAAGTTGTTCGGTTGATTTTTGTCTCCATGTTTTGATGGGATGCGCATGCAGAGGGGATCATAAAGGAGGCAACCAATGTCTACACACATATATATATATATATATATATATATGATCTTGCGATGACATGACAGAAATTGGTCCTACTACCTTTTTCAATGGGGCGAGAGGTAGCAGAAGGCAGTCGAAGCACATCAATGCCTTTTGGTTGTTTAATCAATGCAGTACTGGACAATCAATCTTAGACCGCATTCTTTTCTGCATTTTATATCCAAACGTGATTCATCCATGTTAGAAATTGATGCGATTCATCCATGGCAAAAAGAAAAGGAAAAAATAAAAATAAAGAAGCATTAATTTACACTTTCCGGGCTTGAATGTTTTCCTTAGATGAAGCAGCAATTCAATAAATTTATGCTTTCGACACTGGTGAAGTGAAGATACTAGCTAGAGGCTAGAACACACACACTGCAAAGAAATCAATTGTATGTTTTTCACTGCAAAATAATTCAGCTGTCAACCAGATGCCAGGCGTATGAGTCTCAGGTGAGGTTCCAGAATTACTGGAATAGGGATTTATTGATCAACTGTCAGAGCTAGCTGTGATAAGTACATTAGGAATCCACTAGCTAAAATATCAAAGAAGAGAGTTTTATTAAAGACGAATAGCAAGGTTCACATCACTAGCTAAAATATCAAAGATCCACTCAGGCCACACTTGGTCCCAAACGTGGTTACCGCCTACTCTAGACACAAAGGCCGCAACCTCATGCGCTGCCTTATTGCACTGACGGGGAGTAGCTAGAAAAACAACCTGTTGGAGCTTGCCAGCAGTCAGTCATTCTTCTTTTGACAAACAAATACATTCATACAGATTTATGATTTACACATTCACTTCGAATGGTAAAGAATAAATGATTCTTTATTTATAACTAAGAATGCAAAACATTTATGTCTTGCGACCCTAAATTGATCCTCACTTTCAAATGAACTTTTACTTATGTCAGATGCATGATGAAGATTCTTTATTTACAGTAGGATGGACAAGGAAGTGCAGTGTAGTACATACTAGAGCACGCGGCATTGTCACACAAATTTGAAAACAAATATGAGTAGTAGAGTGAGAAGAAAGAAAAAAGAAAAAAAAAACTCATGCTTGCCTATATAAAGTAGTGATGTAATTAACCAAAAGGTAAAAAGACTTCGATTTGCTTGTTATTACTAACTAAATTGACATCATCATCATCGTAAAATCTACTAATTTACATTAACACGTAACCATCACACAGATTCACAAATATTTTTTTAAAAAAGTTACATAATTAAAGGTCCAATATGACTACACGGTTGGCTAGAAACTAGAAGGTAAGCACGTGAAAACCTAAAGTTCAAACAAACCAATCTCAAACGCTTTCGCGCGACAACCCACTAATCTTTCATACACTACTTTAATTATTATTATTTTATCTTAATTTTTTAGATCAGCAGTGACTCAGCAAATGAGTCTAATTCAAGTTGGTTCTGATGATCATGGTGATGATCTGTCTTCAGCAGCGCCTGCAGATATTCTTCATAAATATTTTCAAGCGTATGATCATGATCATCAGCTGAATTGGGTACTTGATCTTGATCTTGATCTTGATCATCACCAACACAAAACACAACCCCATTGGCCCGAGTATTAACTAAAACTTGATCATTTTCATTGAACCCAAAAGCTCCTCCTCCTCCTGCTTTTAAGTCTTGGCTTGAAGTGGTTGTAGTAGTGGTGGTGGTGCTACTAGTAAAACTGTCATTTCTTTGCAGGGATAAAAAGGAAGTTACCCTAGTGGGTTTTGGGAGGTGAACTTTAGGCTTTAGTGGCTCCACATGTTGACCTGTTTTGTTCTTGTTTTTCACCACCATCTCCTTCTTGTTCATGTTGTTCTTGGTTTTTTGGTTCTTTCTCCTTTTATTTTCTTTGACCACAGGCTCAGATAATTTCTTGTGGGTGCTTGGGTCGGTGCCTTGGCTTCTGAGTTTTTTGCTAAGATGGGTGTTCCAGTAGTTCTTGATCTCGTTATCGGTTCGACCCGGAAGCCTACCGGCGATGAGAGACCAACGGTTGCCCAGAAGTGAATGTAGTCTGACAATTAGGTCATCTTCATCTGGGGTTATGTTGCCTCTCTTTATGTCTGGTCTTAAATAGTTCATCCACCTCAGCCTGCAACTCTTCCCACACCTAAGGAGGCCTTCATGGACAAGGACAGTCACAAATTAAATTGTGAGAAATTTGACCACTAAATTTACAAAAATAAATGGTAGCTAGCTAGCTATGTAGGACAATATAATTCATCTAAAGAAATGTGGAAACTGAACAATAACAAACAAAAAAAAGCTCATAAAATCCTTTAGCTACCAGCTTTTTTGGGCATGGATCTCCAATGGCCTTCCCCATGAGCTTCAATATACTTGGTGAGCAATGTGTCTTCTCTAGGAGTCCATGGACCTCTATGCAAACCAACCTTAGAACAACAAGGAGCCCTTCCCATATTTACTCTCTCACTCTCTCTCTCTCTCTCTAGCTAGATCTCTTTCTCTTTCTCAAGAATATAAATTTGCCCGGGAGAACTATAGTGAGAGAGAATAAGAGGGAGCTAGAGAGAAAAGGAAAGAAGAGGACTGATGCTCTCTAAGCACAAAGGATTCTCACACCTTGTGCTCCCTTTTAATGTTAGGGGGGACGAACTTGCTAACGTGCGTTAAATAAAAACCTGCTAATTTCTTTAATATATATAATTATGTAATTTTAAAACTATTTATCGGAAAACGTTTTCTTACCTACTTGAATACATAAGATCTTTAAGGCATATGGTGGTGTCACATACCATTGCTCAAATTGACTCTCTTGTCTGATTCATGTGTGGTTTAAAATTCATATATATATATATTTATTTATTTATTTATTTATTTATATACTTATATATGTATATATATATTGATATATAAATATATAAATATATACTTCCATATATTGATGATAAAAAAAAAAAAAAAAAAAAAAAAAAAAAAAAACGATAGTCTAAATTGCATGGGAGGAAAATTTCTCTCACACACACAATTATGATGTCGTGAGGATTCCAAAAAACAAAATTAAACATTAACTTAACCATTCTATCTTATCAAGTGGCTTATTGGACTATATTCATATTTTTGTTTTAAGAACTCTTTTTTCGAAAAAATAAAAATAAAAAATTGAACTTTATTTATTCATTTTTATTATATTATAATGTATGTATATTATATAATATAATATAGCAGCCAATAAATATTTATGAAATGCTACGTGATGGTCATTTGGCCAATTTAAGTTTGTGCACGTAACTCAACGGCCCTTCTTTGCTATCTGCCCTTCTCGAGCATATGCTGCATGCATTTTTTTTCCGTAACGAGTAACGAGTAACGAATAAGATTGTGTTTAATTTTCAAAGTATATGTACATATATAAACAGTCATGAACATCAGAAGTTTTGAAAATAAAATAAAATCAGGGGAGATTAATTATGAACCAAAATCATCGATTCCCAAGTGGCTAGCCTTTAGCATTTCATTTTCTCCATTTGGTTGGATATTTCTAGAGTGTCAAATCAAAGTTAATTATATAATTATTTGAAATCAAATTAAACTCTTACGAACCCTTATCGACTCGCGAATAACTGGTTGCTTGGTTCGTCACGATACAAACATAAACGAAGAAAAAAAAGGTTGAATGATGTTGAGCAAACAACTACAGTCTTCTACACCAGTTCATGATTAGGTATGTCTACTGTTTAATTAATTGACTAAACTTTGCCTAATCCAATTTAAGGACTTTTCTCGAGCAAATTGCCTTAGGCTGAATTTGATTTGTATGTGCTATATGTTATATCTTCACTTAGCACCCAAAAACCAAAACCCAAAAAAAAAGAAAAAGAAAGAAAGAAGATTTTAGCTGCATAAGTTGTATGGTTAATTTGTAGACAATGAGAACTTAATATATTGTTTATTTTAGTATAAATATCATAAAACTAAATTAATAAATTACAATATCATAATATAGTATATAATATATAAATAAAATTGGTAAAAATGGAGCGGGGCCTGGAACTTCACTGGTCCCTTAATGACTCCACCACTGTGTAACATATGTACCAATGAGGTTGGCTAAATAAAATAAAGAAATAAATATATATATAGTTGTTGATCTTGATTAAAGTGTTTCCTAATGAGACACCGTACATCCTGGTTCTTACAAATACAATTAAGTCAAGGCTGCCAAACCAGCAGATCGTCAACTTAGAATATTGCTTTAGTTTGGCACATAATTGATGCCCTGACATTGAAACCCCAATTATGAATTAAGGTAAAAATAAATAATGCTCAAGAAGAATTATTGGTGTATTATTGACTCAAATGAAGTGAATTATTGACAAAATCTTAATTTGTTCCACAACTTTATAAGGGGAATTGGAATTTGGAGTATTATATGCAGTATTTGGAAGCTTCCAATAGGTTGAAGTACTTTTATGATTGGTGTACATGTGTGAAATATCTATGCAAATTGTCTGCAGGCTCCATTTGAAATTAAAATAAGTTTCTGGCCGGCCATGCATATGTCTACTTCCATGCGGGTTGGAAACTTTCTTCAATGGAGATGGAAAATATATGGCCCTACCCTGTTCTTATGGCATCCCTTCCATGCCAATGAGGTCTATTTCAATGGAAAGGATCTTGACTTACAGATTAGTTTGTAGTTTCATATTCGAACTCTCATGGCATCTTGACAGTGTGTGTGAGAATCCATTTCTTCCAATATCGCTTGTCTCACAAAAAAACAAAACAAAAAAATGCCATCCCTTCCATATATTGTGGACTAACATTACACTCATAAAAATCATCCTACTTCATGGTGCAACTCTTTTTCTCAACTACCAAGACGAGATTCGAATTTAGAGCCTCTTTGAATATTGGAAAGAAGATAAATATTACTGCACTAAAAATTAATTGATTACTTAATAACTAAAATAAAACAATGACTTTACCAAAATATTATACGGATTATAGCATTTTCTACAATAGATTAATAATCATTTTGCACAAGTAATGGCCACAAACCGGTTACTGGTACAAATAACATAAAGAAATGTAACCAACATTTATTGAAAAAAGCAAACCCAAAGATTTGGGACCAAAAGCTGTTAGCGGTGATGAAATTACTTCATTGGAATAAAATAGATCAACTATTTCAAGAAGGATTTAAAAAAAATATATAGCTCTACAATATATAATTACCTTGCACTCATCATTCATTACACATATTTTCTAACTTCGAAGGCAGAATATGGGTTCATCCCACATAAAATTATTAACAGTCAAAAATGTGAAACTCATGTATGTTAATAAATTTAAGAGTTATTTACATTAACACCTCATGAGATTTTTGGTGTTTTCATCCTTTAGATTTCAAAATTACACAAAAACACACTCTTAGAGGTTTTAAATTGATTTCACAAAACCTCTTTCATTAATTGTTTGTTCAAAATTTGATGATTTCAAAATATATAAAAACTTATGCAAACGACAAAATTAACCTCAATGAATATATGTGCAATCTAGTCTCAAATGCTGACTTTGTCATTGGAGAAACCCTTTATATAAAATCATCAATCTTTGGACGAAAAATCAACGAAAGTAGTACAATTTAAAACCTCCAGGGTGTTTGTGTAATTTTGAAACCTCGGGGGATTTTGTGAAAAAATAAAAAATATTAGGGGGTGTTAATATAAATAACTCTAAAATTAACCAAGACTAATGACGAGAGTAATTTTGTATGTTCCGGGTACACCATGTAGTTGATGTACCATCCAATAACATGAGCCATGTGGAAATATTCTCTAATACACATAGGACATAAAAAAAAAGTATTTCCACATATCCCATATATATTGAATAGTACACTAACTACATAGTGTACCCTGAACATATGTAAAATTTTCACTAATGGCGGCATGAGATGCTTCCTTTTTACTCTCTTTTTTCTTTGTTCTCTTTTGAGACCCCATTTACTCTATATATTCAACATATTGGAACATGCTTCATGTGTTAATTACACACGTTGGTTGGTTCCATCTCTGTTATAACATGATTAATATAATGTGGCATGCAATGATAATGTTTGTGGTGAGATATTATGCACGTAGGGAGAAATCGAAAGTTGATTTGCAAATCAAATCATATCAATCAGTTGTGAGATCCAATGCTCTGATGTTTTTTCTTTTTTTCTTTTTTGAAAAGAAAACAACAAGTACCAGTGCTTTTCTGCTCGACATGGCTCTTATAATTTCTATGCTAGTGGACAGACAATTCTCATGGATCCGAGGGATTAGGGTTGACATTTAAGCATAGGGTTTTTATTATAAATGATTGAGGTTAATGAAATTATCATCTTTAGTCTTTTATGTTTGTTTCTGACATTATTGGTCATTTATGTTACACTTCACACATCAATTTGATACTACCATTTAGGTTATGTCAAAATTGAGATTTTTTAAAGAAATATCACTTGAATTTATACCCCAGTTCAATTTGTCACCTCAAAGAAAAATTTAAGAGAAATATCAACTTAATTTTTTAAAATTCATGATTTGTCATTTGACTTTAACACTATTCAATTTTTCATCCATTTTAAAGAGTATTTTAGTCTTTCCATTTTCAAGGAAAACAAAGAGAGAGAAAATAGACATCTCTCTCCCTTTCTCCCCCACCCAAACACCACCCTCCCCCCCACCCCCCACCCTCCAAAAAAAACCTATCGCACATGACCCCCCCCTCCCCTCTCTCTCTCTCTCTCTCTCTCTCTCTCTCTCTCTCTCTACAAATTTTCAATATGCAAATGGAAAAATACGAAAAATAAAAAAGAAGAAGAAAAAGGTGGACTTGGTTTGGGTGGGCTGAGGGAATATGTGTGTGGAGGATAGGTGTTCCATGGTCGAGAGAGAAGGAGGAGGAGGAAGAGGGAAACAGGAATGGAGGAAGGGCAATGTGGGTGGTTGGTTGGAGCCACTGGTGCCCTTGAAAATGGATGATGTTAAAGTCAAATGACAAATCATGGATTTTGAAAAATTAAGGTGACATTTTTCTTAAATTTTTCTTTAAGGTGACAAATAAAACTGGGGTACAAGTTCATGTGACACTTCTAGAAAAATCGGGTCAAAATTTATATTAAATCGATGATGTGGTAGGTATGTGGTACCCACATATCCAATGAAATAATGCCAAGTTGATCTAAATAAAAAAATTATTTTTAAACAAAAATGATTTAACATTGAAAATCCTAAAAAATCAAAAATCAAAAATAAAGAAAAGAAAAAAGAAGAGATAGACAAAGAGTGGGTTGCCAACGGTGGAGGGTGTTAGCAGAGGGAGAACGCAGATGGGGGATGGTTGCAAGTATTTTTCTTTTTCTTTTAGTTTGAATATTTTTTTATTTATAAAAATACTTAGTTTTCATTTT